AGGTTTGTGTAGAAGGGGTGCTTGAACTGAGTCTGCAATGAAGTCAATTCTGACACGGGAACAAAATCATTCTAAGCACACGTGGATGTTCTGTGCAAAGGCACCAAAAGAGGAATGGGCATGCTAGTGGCAAACACCAAGGAAGTCTGTCTGGCAGAATGTTTGTGAAGGATTTAATTTGTTTTAGGCTAGGATAAATAAGGATCCTTTGCATGATGAGTAGGGAATTGGCATGTTTGGTGACTTAGGAAGATCACTGGCAACTGTTTTGAAGGATGGATTAGAGGAGAGACTTGAAGCAAGGGAGGTCCATAGTAGTAACCCAGGCAGAGGTGACAAATTATTCCTTTAAGGTAGAGGCTGAGCCCTGAAAGGGGGAAAGATGTGAAACATCAAAGTAGAATTAAAAAGATCTGGGAAATGATTACATATGTAGGGTTAAAGAGTGAGGCATCAAGAATGACTAGAAAGACAGTACTACCTTTGAAAGAAAGATGTTCAGAAGAGAAAAAGGTAAGTTCTATTTTGGACATGTTTGAGATGTCCAGAGGATAGTCAATTCAAAATGCCCAATAAGTAGCTGCTGATGTGGGACTGGCACTCCAGAGAGCCTGGAGCTGGATATGTGATCCGAGAGTTAGCTATATAGAGTAAGTGAAACTCTCAGGAGCTAACGAGGCCATCCAGTAAGATTACATCCAGTAAGATTGGCGGGTGGAACTAGAAAAGGGTAGTAACATGAAAACTCAGAGAGGAGAAAAGCAGTTGATAGTGACAAATGCTGCTGTAAGGTCAAGAATAAGGATTAGGAAAAGATCATGAAATTTGTCAAACGAGATTGCTAACTTTGAAGAGAGCAATTTCAGCCAAGTTGACAACTCCGAGTTGAAAGTGCAGGACAGGGAGAAGAAGCAGAGGAAAATGTAGACCACTTTAACTTAGGAGTTTTAATTTGAACATGGAAGGGGAGATTTAGGATGATAGTTTGAAGGCCTAGTGAAGGGTTTGGTGTTTTGGTTTGTTTTAAGGACAGGGAAGACTAGAATAGGTAAGGAAAGATTGTGGGGGAAATATGCTGTAAAAGATTAGGATGGGAGCAAGGACATGAAGAGTTGGCAAGTAGCAAGGCGATGCTTCATTAAAACTGGAGAAAAGGAGAAGAGAGTAGGGGATGATATACAAAAGGCATTGACAGAAGAATACTGGGAGAGGGAACTTATGTTGAATGATAGGAGGCAAGGTCTCCAAATGACAGGAGAAGAAACATAAAAAGATTATAAAATAGTTTTTGTGGGCAATGGGATAGTTTTTTATAGATAGGGAAAGAGATCATAAAAAAAAACAAGGAATAGAGAGGATCACAGAAGATAAAATGGACAGTGATTATATAAAATTAATGTTTTATATTTTTCCATAAATAAAACCCATAAAGGTAAAATTTGGAAGGGAAAGCATTGATGGGGGGGTGGGGGGTGGAAATCTTTGCACCAAGTTTCTCTGAAAGTTGTTCCCAGGATCCATAAGGAACTGATCCAAACCTACAAAATTGCCACTTCACCAATAAATAAATGGTCAAAGTACAGGAATAAGCAGTTCTCAAAGAAATCAACAATCAACCAGCCATGTTAAGTTTTTTTAAAATGCAAATTAAAGCAATTCTAAAGTTCATCTCCCCCTCCCTTTTCCCCAGATTGGCAAAGATGAAGAGGAAAAAAAAAATGTTGAAGGAGCTGCAGAAAAACAGGGATGCCAGTACACTGGTCCAGGCTTTCTAGAAAGTAATTTAGCACTATATACCTGAAATATTACTAAACTGTGCACATCCTTTGACCCAGAAACACCACTACTAGGCCTAGACCGCAAAAGAATTGGAGGGAGGAAAAGAATATATAGTGGGGGAAAAAAACCCAAACCCTGGGAACCAAGGGTTATTTCTTAGGGAGGAGGGGACCTTGGGCAGGACAGCTGAGCAAATCCTGGTGTATGAATAGAATTGTACCACATGAAGTGATTTTTTTTTCAAATGAGGGATATACATAGAGTAAAGGCTGAAATTTATTCTCCAACCTCAATACATACAATAAAGAACTCTAATTTTGTGCTTCATTTACATTAGCAGTAAAAAAAAAAAAAGTAACAGTGAATGAAACAGGAGATTTAAAGTACTGTGACGAAGCAATTGCAGAAAAAAATAGGGCTACCCACAAAGAGATGGAAAGTTTCTGAACAAGAGTGGAGCAAATCGTTACCCAGCACTTAACAAACCTAAAGAAAAGCCCTCAAGCCTCTTCCCATGATGCATTTTTTAATACTGCCTTTTCAGAGAAACCTGGAAAGGGTTATGTGAAGTGAGTGGAAACAGAATAATGTATGCAGTTAAAAAAATGTAAAAACAAGCCACTTTTTGACTTTAGAACTCTAACCATGGCCCTAAATTGCCATGAGTCCAGAGGCCCCAAGGTGAAGTCCATCAACCAGCATTTATTAAGTGCCTACTATGAACATACCAGCACCATGCTAAGCATTTGCAATACAAAGAAATGCAAAAAGACAGTCCCTTCCCTCAAGGAGCTTGCAGTCTAACAGGAGAGAGAAAATAAGAACAACATACAAACAAGATAGAAAAAAGTTGGGGGTAGTCTCAGAAGGAAAACACCAGCCAGACTTCTTAGTAAGATTTTGGCTCCAGATTGAAAGAAGCCAGGAAGTAGAAGGAAGGAGAGAAAATTCCAGGCATAGGGACTCAGCAGCCTGAAAAAGCCTGGAGTCAGAGACTGAGTGTCATATTCAAGGAACAACTAGGAAGCTGGTGTCACATGGATCATGGAATACATGGAAGGGAGTAAAGTGTAAGAAGACTGGAAAGGTAGAAGTTATGCAAGACTTTGAATGCCAAAGAAAGGATTTTACATTTGATCCTGGATATGATTGGGAGTCACTGAAGTTGATTGAATTGGGATGAGGGTAACATGGGCAGACCTGTGCTTTAGGAAAATCACACTGTCAGCTGAGAATGGAGAGGAGGAGAGACCTGAGGCAGGAAGACAAAAAACATAACTATTTTCCAAAACAAAAAAAAATTTAGTGAGAAGAATGGTATTGCTTCACATATTTTTGCAAATCTAATGTCTGGTTTCATAGACAAGCTGATTCTCATATCTGCTTGTGTACTCACCTTAAATGCATGTGATTTTTTTTTGGCTGAAAGGCATAAAGAAAATATGGTCTCAAACAGATATGTAGTTGGAAGAAAGGTTCATTTCAGGCAAATATTGTTATGAAAATAGTTTTGACCTCATGAACTCCCTTAAAGGATCTTAGAGACCCCCAGGGATCCTTAGACCTCTCCACTTCAAGAACTACTGCTCTAGGTTATCAATTTCTTGTTTTGTCAATTAGGGGGTTTTCTTTTTTGTAAATGACCCTCCATTTGTTGTACATTCTCAGATGTACTTGCATGCAATTGTATTGCATGCAAATTGTATGCAATACCTGGATAGTTCAAAAGTTCTATACTGTCATCCCTGTGGGCACTCATTCCACTCCAGAATATGGCAACCCATCCATGCCTTCTCTTCCCCTAAGACTCCCATCCAAATACTGCCATATGTCTTAGGGAAAGAAGGAACCCTTGTCCTGCCCTGGACCTTCCTCCACTTCTCTTGTCACTGGGCTGTACATTTGTTATCCTTTGCTATCAATAGCTCCCACACTTTTTTTTAAAAATGTTTCATGCACATTTTTTTAAGTTACTATCCCTTTCCATTGTTTCTTCCTGTTGGTCCCAATTCTCCCCTACCATTTGAACTGAACAAATTTAATTCCTCTTCCAGAGGACAACCTTTCAAACACTTGAAAACAGTGATCACTGAGAGAATTCTAATGTAAGTTCCTTGAGGACTGGGTCTCTCTTTTGTCTCTGTATACCCAAGGCCTAGCACTGAACTGTCGACATTCCCTGACAGGTAGTCAGAGGTAGTCAGTAGACAAAGAGGAAAGGGTGGGGCATTCACGGCATGTGACCTCACCAGTTTTGACAACTAACCTTACCCCTCCGAGTCATCTTCCCTACTTTCTGGACTTAAAACACGCTGGAAATATTGCAGTACCTTTCCTCAGCATCTGGGGCCTCCTCACTCTGCATCATCTTCCACCCTATACCCATACCTACTAGCCTACTCACCATGGATTATTCCCTCTCCACCCACACCAGGGCCTCGCTGTATTCTCTCATTGGTAAATTCCTCCGGGAGCCTCTATGTAAAGGGAACCAGGTCTACCTGCCTCCATTAGCAGTCCTCATTTTTTAGGTTCCTTGTTTGTGTTCCCCTGTTAGAATGTAAGCTCCTTGGCAGGCACTATCATTTTTCCTTCTGCTTGTATTTATAGCCCCCTGCACCTAGAACAGGGCCCGTCTTAATAAATGCTTATTTCCTTCCCTGTCAATCTGCCACTCCTCTGAAGTCGGTAGTTTTTTTTTTGTTTGTTGTTTTGTTTTGTTTTTTTTTAAGGCTCCGGAGGAGAAAGTGAGGCTGGTGACTTTGCACCCCCCTCTCATGACAACACCTCCCTGATGTCATAGTCCTTTTCTAGGACGAAGGGCAAACAGCAGTAGCAATTGTCTAGGATACCGAGAGGTGTCCGTAGTTACCCAGCTCGCCATGCATCAGAGGCCAAACCAGCCTCCAAAGCTAGCTCTCCATCCACTCTACTTGCTAGTTTCTACCTTTCACACAATAGGCCTTTAAACCAAAGCGTGTTGAATTGCATGAGGTCAAATCTCGTTAGTAGTTCAAAGAAGAGATTCCTTTGGCAACCCAGCATCCCTAAGAAGCCCTAAGTAAATGCTCTTGAATAGTTTTAAAAATAAGGAAGTAAAGTCCTGGACCCAGCTCTCTACCGTCAAGAATATTTAAATACCAAGGGGTGGAGGGAGAAACTAAACGTTCCCCACTATTTAGAGGCGAACCCAGACTCTTGGGCTAAAACCCTGCGGACTCAGGCAAGGTTTCGAGAGGAGCCGCCACCCTTCAAGGGTCCAAAAGCTGCCGTCATTCCCAAGCGTCCTAAAGCCCTCTCGGAGGAGGGACTAGCGCCCAGGTGGCTTGGCTGAGCTGGTGCCCCAGGGCTGGAGAGGGAGAGCTGGGGCGGAGTCACCCGAGGACGGGAGGCGAGACCATGGGGCCTCCCGGGGTAGTGCTGGTGATGGGAGTGAGCGGCTCGGGAAAGTAGGTATTTAGGTTGGGGTCGCGCGCGTCCCCACGCCAGGGCGGGAGGAAGCAGGAGGTCGGGGATGAGTCTGCAACAGGCGCTCAGTGGACACTGAGAGCCAAGGAGGGGAGGACGGGTGGGACGTCAGGGAGCGGAGCCGCGGGGTCCAGCGGCCGAGGGAGACAGAGCCTGCGGGGACGTGGAGTTGGGTCTCCGCAGCTCACCTGCAGACTTCACAGCAGCTGCGTGAGCAAGCTGCAAGGGGTCATTTCGGGATGGCTCGCCCCGAAGGCCCAGGGAAGCCGCGGGGCTCCGGATCCAGGTTCTCGCTCCGCCCAGGCCAAGGCCCACGCAATGTCACGTTGTGCGTGACCGCCCCATTCATGAATCGGATTCGCCGACTGCACCGCGTTGGCACGCTTTGGGCTTGTAAAGGGTCCAGATGTTAAGAGCCACAGTTTTCCCCTGCCTTGGCCCCCCACCCAATCTAGAAACCTCACTGACCCCGGTGACCGACATTAGGCCACTAAAGACTCATTAAGAGTGCAGAGCGGCACCCCCCCCCAGCACACCCACCCACGTGCTGAGTGAGCCACATTTTAAAAACAGACTTTAGCACCCTAAAGAGATAACTTGGCTCTTTCCCTACCTTCTGCTAGGCTCTCTCTCTCTCCACCCCCCCACCCCCCCCTTAGTTAATGTTTAACAACTCTAAGGCAGACTTTTATAAGACCTAGTAGCTGGAAAGGATGGCTCTGAGGGAGTGAATTAGAATTGTTTAGGCTGTAATTTAAGTACAGTTTTAAGAGAAAAACTGTGCAGCTGGCAGCTGGCACATGGTAGGTGTTTAATATATGCTTGTTGGTTTATAAAGTGACAGTGAAAAAGTCACTTTACCTCGAAACTGAAATTTCCTTATCACCAAATAATGCCACCTTCATTTTAATTATTTATTTAAAATATCTATTTAAATTATTTTGTCCTTATTAGACTTGAGATCAAGGGTTGTCTTTTGTCTTTGTGATACCAGTGCTTACCACAGCGCTTGGCACGTTGTACTAGATTAATGAATAATTGACTTTGAATTGGCTCTTTAAACACTGGAATTAATTCTTCAGACAGTTCTGAGGCAGTTGGTAAAGAGTTGTACCTGCAGTCAGGAAACCAAGGTTCCTATTTCTACTCTGACACTTACTAGCTGTGTGACCCTGGGCAAGTCACAGGCATGTGGTCCACTTCCAGACCCAGGTACTCTTATCCCTCCTTTTCAGCAACCTTTTGTGTGCTGTTTTCTTCCATTAGAATGTAAGCTCCTTGAGGGCAGGTACTGTCATTCTTTCCACTTCTATGGCTTCTTTGATAAGTTAAAAAAAAAATCTAAATGTGTTGTGGATACTAATACTCCACTGAACCCTTCCCTCAATAAAATTCCATCACCTTACTTTTTAAGAGGGAAAAACATTTTAATAAGAACCTGAAAAAAAAATGGAATAGACTGAACTACAGGGTTACAAATTTAGAGCTTGAAGGGACCTTAGAATTCAAATGGCCTAACCCCCTCATTTTACATAAGAGGAATCTGGATCCCAGACAGGTTAGTGATTTTTGAAAAGTCATACAACAGTGACTTGCCCAAGGTCAAACAGGTAGTGAGGTGTAGGCAGATATTTGTATCCTCAATAGTATGGGGAGGGGCAGCTAGTTGGTGCAGTGGATAGAGCACCAGCTCTGGAGTCAGGAGGACCTGAGTTCAAATGTGACTTCAGACACATAACACAGTGCCCTTACGAGCTGTGTGACTTTAGCAAGTCACTTAACCTCAATTGCCTCGCAAAAAAAAATAATAATAATAATAATATGGGGAAAAGAATGTTCACCCTGGAGTCAGAGGCTCTAGGTTCAAATCTTTCCTTTAATAATTAATATTGATATAACTTCAGGCAAAGCTTTTAATATCCCTGGTCCTCTGTTTCCTCATCTGTAAAAGGAGGGGATTGACCTTGGCCTGAAATTCCTTCTAGCTCTAAACCTATGATCCTATCATCTCATCTACTAGGATCCTTAGATTCTAACTTCAGCAGCCTTTCTAATACAATGATGCATTTTCCTATCATGCAAGATTTGATCAGATAGCCCAAAGGCCATTGCTTATTTTTTTTTCTTAAAGCTAAAATGTATTCTGTGCAAGGTTTCACTGTGCATGAGACATTCTGTTTCACTCTTGCTTACACACAGTGAGTAAGTGCACCAGCCCCTTGGCTCAAGTTTATAGGTCTCCCATGGAGAAGGGGGTCAGGCCAGCTCTTTTTAAAAAAATCAGTAATTGCTACTCAATTCTTTGTTCCATTTACTGAGGCCAGTTAAGGCCAAACAGTTGATGATCATTATTTCTGTTTATAATATTTTTCACATTCTAATACCATCCATGGCAGCAGAGAAAGCTATTTCTTGGGCCCTCACTCACCCCCTCTCAATGATAGGGAAGACTATGAAATACTAATAGTCTGAACATTGCTGTATTCTTTTACAGATCAACAGTGGGATCACTCCTGGCAACTGAGGTACTGTTCTGTTATGTGTCCTCACAGGTGTATGGGCCTGCTCTATTATCTTTTTCTCTCCAGAACCTGCAGTTCCCTCTATCTATTATTTTTTAACCATGCCTATCATTTCATTGGTGTTCATAGCCCCTGGTGAATAACTCTTACAAATGAAAATTGGTTTTTTGGGTTTTTTTGGTGAGGCAATTGGGGTTAAGTGACTTACCCAGGGTCACACAGCTAGTAAGTGTCAAGTGTCAAGTGTCTGAGATTTGAACTTAGGTCTTCCTGACTCCAAGGCTGGTGTTCTATCCACTGCACTGCCTAGCTACCCCTCCAACTTTTCAATGTAGAGATTTAAAAGCTTGACTGGCCTGCTCACTAAGAGGTTGAATGACTTGCCAGAATGTCTCAGAAGTGAGACTTAAACCCAGACCTCCCAGAGTCTGAGAATAGCATGGCATCCTCTTTGCTACACTGCCACTTATCCCCTTGTTCCCTCTATATCAGGGGTTTTTAACTTGGGGTGTGTGAACTTGGTTTTTAAAAATATTTTGATGACTATATTTAAATATAACTAGTTTCCTTTATAATCTTATGTATTTTATTTTACATATTTAAAAATATTCTGAGAAGGGGGCCTTGGGCTTCACGAACAGGATCTATGACACAGAAAAGGTTAAGAATTCCTGCTCTTTGTGTGACCCTGGGCAAGTCATTTAACGCCAATTGCCTCACCAAAAACAGCAAAAAAAAAAAAAATTCCTGCTCTTATTGTGCATAAAATGCAAACTTCTTATTTATTTCATTTTCTATCTTGGTATTTGAAATAACGATGCATGAAGAACAACATGGTGCCGTACAAATGAAAAGCACCATTTGAAATGAGTCTTTTCTCTTGTACATAATGCACAAGTTTTGGGGTGGGTTTATTGCTATGTGAGACAGAAGCAGTGAGGTGGCACAATGAATAGAGTGTAGGACTCGGCATGTGAAAGACCCAAGTTCAAATCCTGCCTCAGACATTGACTAGCTTTATAAGTCTGGGCAAGTCACTTAACCTCTGTCAACTTCAGTTTCCTCATCTGTAAAATGGGGATAATATTGGCACCTTTGTGAGGATCAAATGTTATATATGGTAAAGTGCTTTATATACCTTAAATGCTAGCTATTATAATGGGGAGAAAGTTCCCGTCACTGTTCTTGACCAGGCAGTGTTGATAACCATTTGATGATTATAATTTGGACTGTTCAACCTCCCATATGTGATATTTTAGGTTGTGTTTTGTTTTTGTTTTTTTTTTAAGCTGGGGTGGAAATTCTACGATGCAGATGATTACCATCCTGAAGAAAATCGAAAAAAGATGGGGAAAGGAATACCACTGAATGATCAGGTAATTTAATGCTACAATAAGATATGTAAGAAAGAACACTGGACCTGAAGTTGGAGAAAAGACCTGAGTTTGGCTCTACCACTTAATTCTTAGGAGCTCAGTTTTGTCTTTTTGAAAGAAGGGAAGGGGAAAAGGAAAAGGGAGAAAAAAGGAGAGAGAGAAAGAGAGAAAGTTCAGGACTATCATTCCAGTGGCGTAGGGAGCTCCTACACCACATACAACTTAGAGTCTTATGAGAGGTGAAATCCCTTGTCCTTGGTCAGGTATAGCCAATATGTTTCAGAGGTAAGACTTGAACCCAGATATTCCTGGTGCCAAGGGTCACCATTTGTGCAGTATGCCATCCTTCCTGTTCAATGGGAATAATCCTTGAGCTACCTACCTCTCAGGGTTCTAGTGAAGATCAAATAGAAATAAGTCTAAAAGCCTTCCTTCCCTTAGCATTGAGATCAGGAGGGTGTATTCTAGGATGGTTAATATGCTTATCTTACCTTTGCCCACCAGTCATGAGGAGAAGAGTCAGGCTCCAGGACAGGGCAGATATCAAAGATCACTTGAAAGTCAGAGGGCTCAAGCAAGGGAATGTTTGTGAAGTGTTTGAAAGAGACTAGAATCAAGTGGATACAGATACAACTATTATCACTTTCTTCGGACTTGACCCATGCTCACCCCACCCCCAATTTGATTTCAAGCCAAGTTATTACATTTTCTTGTCTATTCTCCATTGTCAGTGTTTTTATTATATGTGGCCCTCAACCAACAATATTAGGTCTCTCTGTTAGGAATTACAAGGGATTGGATAACTTTTAAGACTGCACTTTCTGTACTGTAAGGAATCTAGCCAGGGACATGATGGTAAATGTTTAACAATCAGCTCTTGGGGGGGGTTGTATACGTGACACACTTTTAAGTTTAAATGCATTATTAACATTTTCCCCATTGCTTTCTTAAGTTTCAACAACAAATAGAACAGTCAGTCAAGTCCTCATTTGTAGTGTTTGCCAGTTTCCGAGGTATAAATGCTCACCCTGAAAATTTAATCATCAGCTTTCACAGCCATTTCAAGTTGGCTTCCACATTCCCATGGATATAGTTTTTGTCTTTCACAGTGTGAATCTTTGACATTCAAGACCAGATTCACAATATTTGAAGTTAAGAAAGATAATTAGGATAATGGAGCTCCTCTTTAAATATGAGTATGTGTCACAAATCACTACAAACAGGATACGAGTGATTGTGTTAATAATTGTAATGTACAGAAGCAGAATCAGGGGCTGCCCCTTTTAGCTCACTTGGTTAGAGCACAGTTCAGATGAGGCTAGAGTCTTAAGTAATCAGGCACCCAACAAACATTATAATTTACTATGGATGAACAGATTTAATGAACTCATTACAGAATCACAGAACTATTCAGCCCCTGACATAAAGGGGATAGGCATGGAGTAGTGAGACAACACTGACCTTAGCATCAGGTCTAGACTCAAGACCCCATTTCATTGCTTACTAGCCATGTGACCCTGGGCAAGTTACTTAGCATCCTTGAAACCTCAGATTACTTATCTGGGCAATAGAAATACTTGCACTACAGGGTTATTGTGGGGAGGGGAACTACTTTATAAACTATGATGTGCTATATACCCATTTTTTTTCCTTAGCATCAATGATTTCACTGATATACGAAGCTTTTAGTGAGGAGTTTCCTCTGCCAGTATAGATTGGCACCTTTTCTGCAACCTAAAGAGTTACCTAGAACACAGAGAAGTCAAGTGACTACCCAGGGTCACAGAGTCAGTATAAGGCAGAAGTAGAAATTGAATCCAGAGTCGTCCTGACTCTGAAGCCACCTTTATATCCACCGTGTTCCCCTGCCTCTCATGCTATGATTGTCTACTAGATTTTAGTATGATTCCTTGAGAGTAGGGACCATGTCTCCATCATCTTTGAATCTCTCCTAGTGCATCACACATGCTTTGCACATAGCAGATTGTTAATTGGTAGATTGGTAAATTGATAGCAAGGAGAATATGGTTGGATCAGCATAAATCCATCATGACTACTGGAAAGAACAACTCTAATCCCTGCTGATGATGTACTAGTAGTGTTAGCATTCTAAGCAAAAGAGAATATTAGATTTGCTCTTTATAATAGAATAGGAAAGCTAAAGCAGGTACAGAAAACCAATTTACTAAATCATGTTAATATTTTTCCAGCCCACGCTTTTCCTAAACTTTCCAATCTACACAACAGAATAAATTAGACTTTTACTATGACATCTACAGCAGCTAGATTGAGCAATGGCTAGACCACCAGGCCTGGAGTCAGGAAGACTCCTCTTCCTGAGTTAAAATCTAGCCGTAGACTTTTACTAGCTGTGTGACCCTGGGCAAGTCACGTAACTCTGCCTCAGTTTCCTCATCTGTAAAATGAGCTGGAGAAGGAAATGGCAAACCACTGCCATATCTTTGCTAAGCAGACCACAAAAGGTGTCATGAAGAGTCAGATACTATTGAAAAATGACTAAACAACAACAACAAATGAGACCCACAGTAGCTATGTGGAAGCCTCACCTAACCCCAGAATGTAATGAAGTGGTTTGATGCTATTTCAGTTCAACAATTCCAAAAATATAGAGAACCAAGACACTGTGTTGGAATGGAAACATAAACAAGAAATAGCGTTTGCCCTCTTCAAGCTTACAATCTAGTAGGCAATTAGGTGACACAGTGGATAGAGCATGAAATTTGGAGTAAGGAAGACCTGAAGTTGAAACCTGCTTCAGATATTTACTAGCTAGGAGGACCTTCATGTTGGATGGAGGCACTATGGAAAATTTTTAGAAAAATATGACCAAGAGTTGTATAGGATGAGAAGGCATGGATGGGTAGTAGTCTGTACCATTGGAGGAAATAACTACATTGATGATATCAGAAAGTCAAGGAAGATGTAAATGGTCCCATCTTATTAAATTTATCATGTTAGTTACTGAAATGTTTTTAGCTAAAGACTAATCATGATTCCAGAGGATCAGTGATGAAGCATTCTACCCACCTTCTGATGGAGAAGGAGGGAATCATATTGCAGAATGAGACATACATTTTCAGGACTGGCCAATATGGGAATTTATTTCACTTGACTGTGCCTATTGGTTATAAGGATTTTTTTCCTTTTATTTTTTCACAGTTTTTCTTTTTTCTTTCTTTCTTTTCTTTTTTTAGGGGGGGAGGGAGAGGAGTAGGGATCAGGAGGAAAGATGGGGATAGC